CCGTCGGGGGAGAGAACGAGACAGAGAGCACCTTCTTCGTTCGGGGAACGGGTTCGCAGCTTGAGAGAATTCCATCCACGGCCTCACTACGTCAAAAGAACGCCCCTTCCCTCTGTCCTTTTCCCGGCGGGGGGGGGTCCCGGGGAGGGGGGGTCATATTCGCATCGCCTCTGGGGGTCCTCTTCTCCCACGCTGGTTTTTCTCTGGCGCGCTGGTCCTCCTTGGGTCCTCCTCCCACGGTGGGGAGGAGTCCCAGGGGGGGGGAGTTAGATACGCATCCGTCCCTGGGGGTCCTTTTCCTCCTCCCCTCCCCTCTCCCACGCCGGTCCTCCTCCAGTCCTTCTCCCCAAAGGGGGGGGCCCAAGGGGGACTCGTTGTCCTCCTCCTTTTCCTGCTCCTCTTCTTCCTTATCTCCGCCTCCTCGTTTTTCTCCTACCCCTCCTGGTCGCTGCCGATGTTTTTCAGGGTCGGCAGCACCGGCCGTCAGGCCTTCACTAATGATATATATATATAGAGAGAGAGATAGATAGATAGATAGATAGATAGATAGATAGATAGATAGATATATAGATATATATATATTTTAAGGAAAATGTGTATTCTTAGGAATTCGCATGAGCGCGAGCGAAACTATTTTTAGACTTGGAAGCTCGTGTTGCGAAATCACGTGTTAATATATGTGCTAGGATAATTAATTCTGACAGCGTTGCAAAACACTCGTTTGTGAATGATGTCGGCATGCACGCGAGATGACGTGCGCGTGCGCAGCTCGTCCGATCTATTGCAAGGGATACTTTGTTATATAAAAGCCGACGACTATCGATAAACGAATGCGCGTGCAAAGTATGTTTGCTCAGGATGAATGGGGGAATGCCGATACCAGCCTGCCTGGGACGGTACGAATTCATTGATAAATTGGACGATGGGCCTTGATCGTACTCAACTTGCATTACGAATTTTGGTAATGTTAATTCTGGGGGATAATAATATGTTTTTTCTGTTACACATGAGAACCGACGCTGTTCAATCTACGTCGTGCACTCATGTGGAACAACTTACGCGGTGCATTATACGGGGTGCAATTCAATCGGCGGAACTTGAGATTGAGGGCCCCACTGCCCGCGCAACCATCCCACCCGCACCACCGAAACCTGGTATGCAAAACCCATGCGGCGGCGAGTGGGATGACTACTTGTCGCTGGCTGGCGCATCGCTGCAGACGCGCTAGCGCGCGCAGAATTGCTCGCAGAACGGCCACCCACTTTGGGGCGACCGACGCGGCCGCGGTGGCGCCAACCGCTGGGGACTTCCAAGGGCGCGTCTCGCAGGCCGCGCAGACGCGCGGGCACTTCAATGCGACTCGGTGACTCGGGCGGGCGCGGTAGCATGGCGACGTCGACCGCTGCAGGCACGATGGTGACAGTAGCGACGATGATGATGACGAAGCGAACGACGACGGCAAGGCGAATTACGGCGCCGAGGTTGGCCACGCCGAGGAGGACAAGAGTGTCAACGCTGCGGTGGTGCAGCTCTTTAACACACATTTCAACGTGCGCGCGTGGCCTACGCGGGGGGCCTCCTCCCCCCCCCAGCAAGCGTGAGAAGGGGGTCGAACTATTTCGGCACGCGCGCGCGGAAGGCCTGCGTGGACCTGCACGATGGGAGTGCTCAAGACTGATGGCTTCCGCCAGGAATCGTAAACACGCGCACGCGGATCGTTTTGAGGACCCCGATTGCTACACCGATGCGGTTGATGTGGTTTGGGGAACTCGAAACTGACAACCTTAAGAAATCGAACGTAGTCGAAGAGTCTCGGAATGCGCGCGCGACGCCGCGCGCGTGGGCATTGTCATCTCTGTGCAAAACATGTACAGTTTGATGATCGCGCGTGCGCGAACAGCACAGTTTTACATGAGTGAAAGGGGGGGCGGCAACGGCCTGGCTGGGATGGTATGAGCTCATATCTAAAATGAACGATGGGGCAAAGCTACGTAAAATTAGCCTGGCGAAGAACCCAACCATATGCAGTTGTCAGTGCCGCAGCTGCGGGTTTCATCTTCAATGGAACTCCCCATAGGACTACGGAACGTGTGAGGGGTGTGCCGAGATGGGTGCCACTGGGGCATTCGGCGGAGCTCCCTATGGGGACATGAAACACGCGCGGGGCGTGCCGACATGGGTGGCGGAGACGCATGTGCAGGCCGCCACTGGGGCCTCCAGTGGAGCTCCCTATGGGTCCCCGAAACATGATGTTGCTGCGGGGGGGGGGGTGCCGGGATGGGTGGCGGAGACGCATGTAAACGCCGCTACTGGGGCCTTCGGTGGAGCTCCCTATGGGGCCACGAATCGCGTGAGGGGTGTACTGGGATGTGTGGCGGGGACGCATGTGAGCGCCGCCACTGGGGCCTTCGGTGCAGCTCTCTATGGGGCCACGAAACGTGTGAGGGGTGTGCCGAATTGGGTGCGGGTGGTGACGCATGCAGGCGGTGCCACTGGGGCCTTCGGTGGAGCTCCCTATGGGGCCACGGAACCTGTTGTTGTGAGGGGCGTGCTGGGATGGGTGGCGGGTGCGCATGTGAGCGCGGCCGCTGGAGCCTTCGGTGGAGCTCCCTATGGGGCCACGAAACGTGTGAGGGGTGTGCCGAATTGGGTGGGTGTGGGTGACGCATGTGAGCGCCGCCACTGGGGCCTCCGGTGGATGGGGCCACGAAACTGGGATGTATGGGTGTGCGGGGCGCATGTGCAGCCTTCGCCGCCGAAACTGGTGTGCCTGCGGGACGCATCGGTGGAGCTCCCTATGGGGCCACGAAACGTGTGAGGGGTGTGCCGAATTGGGTGTGCGGGACGCATGCGGGCGGCAGCACTGGGGCCTTCGGTGGGGCTCCTATGGGGCCACGAAACGGTGAGGGGTGTGCCGAATTGGGTGTGCGGGACGCATGCGGGCGGCAGCACTGGGGCCTTCGGCGGAGCTCCCTATGGGGCCACGAAACGTGTGAGGGGTGTGCCGAATTGGGTGTGCGGGACGCATGCGGGCGGCAGCACTGGGGCCTTCGGTGGGGCTCCCTATGGGGCCACGAAACGTGTGAGGGGTGTGCCGAATTGGGTGTGCGGGACGCATGCGGGCGGCAGCACTGGGGCCTTCGGTGGGGCTCCCTATGGGGCCACGAAACGTGTGAGGGGTGTGCCGAATTGGGTGTGCGGGACGCATGCGGGCGGCAGCACTGGGGCCTTCGGTGGGGCTCCCTATGGGGCCACGAAACGTGTGAGGGGTGTGCCGAATTGGGTGTGCGGGACGCATGCGGGCGGCAGCACTGGGGCCTTCGGTGGGGCTCCCTATGGGGCCACGAAACGTGTGAGGGGTGTGCCGAATTGGGTGTGCGGGACGCATGCGGGCGGCAGCACTGGGGCCTTCGGTGGGGCTCCCTATGGGGGCGTGTGAGCCGTGTGCGGGACGCATGCGGGCGGCAGCACTGGGCCTTCGGTGGGGCTCCCTATGGGGCCACGAAACGTGTGAGGGGTGTGCCGAATTGGGTGTGCGGGACGCATGCGGGCGGCAGCACTGGGGCCTTCGGTGGGGCTCCCTATGGGGCCACGAAACGTGTGAGGGGTGTGCCGAATTGGGTGTGCGGGACGCATGCGGGCGGCAGCACTGGGGCCTTCGGTGGGGCTCCCTATGGGGCCACGAAACGTGTGAGGGGTGTGCCGAATTGGGTGTGCGGGACGCATGCGGGCGGCAGCACTGGGGCCTTCGGTGGGGCTCCCTATGGGGCCACGAAACGTGTGAGGGGTGTGCCGAATTGGGTGTGCGGGACGCATGCGGGCGGCAGCACTGGGGCCTTCGGTGGGGCTCCCTATGGGGCCACGAAACGTGTGAGGGGTGTGCCGAATTGGGTGTGCGGGACGCATGCGGGCGGCAGCACTGGGGCCTTCGGCGGAGCTCCCTATGGGGCTACGAAAAGCTGTACTGGGCGGGTGAAACGCAAGGAAGAAGGGGAGGAGGGAGGAGGAGGGGGAGGAGGAGGAGAGGAGGAGACGCGGGGCACCGTCTCTTCAAAACGAGGACCCAACACCACAGGATGGTTGGGAAAAACACTACCCCTAGGGATGTCGAGAAAGCCAGGGGGGCTGATGTGATGCAATATATATATATATATATATATATATATATATATATATGTTATATATAATATGTATACATAGATATATGTATGTATTGTGCAATCTGCGGTTGAAGTGAAGTCCTTGCGGTGCTACATTGGTGGTGCCGTCTATGCGGTGCAACCTGCGTTGTACAATCTAGGGCGTCGACGTGGGGTGGCGCCGGCGACAACTCAGCCGCCAAACCGAAAGACAGCCACAGGCGACGGATGGCGACGACGCGGCGACGGGGCGGCGACGTCGACTACCTAACAACCAGACCGACCTTCAGGCCCAAACAACGGGCGACGAGGCTGCGACAGTAGGGCAACGGCGACTACATAGCCGCCAGACCGACCTTCAGGGCCACTTCCTCATTCCACAAGTAAGAAACCCAAGATGCTAGCACTGTTTCGGGAATATCTGAACGAGGCCCGAAAAAACATAGTCGCGAAATGCTAGGATACCTCTGGGCGCTCCCTGGGCTTGTCGCGCAGCTTTTCTCGAAGCCTCGATAGCGTGGGTGAGCACCCATACTTTCCACGCGTCCCTCAAGACTGCCCCTCAGAAGCCCAAGACAACTCCAAGACGGCCCAAATGAGCTCCATGTGAGCTCGGCAAAATTTTTGAGAACGACAAATGGCACATATGATAGCCTTCATCTTCCTCCTCCTCCTCCTCCTCCTTCTCCTCCTCCTCATGCTGCTCCTCCTTCCCCTCCTCACCCGTAGTCATCATCATCCTCATCATCATCCTCATGACGGCCGCCACCCAGAATGCTGGGCTGGCACGGTAGCGGGACTTGTCGCAGGCAGCTGGTCACACCCTCTTCCCACTCCTCCCCCTCTCTCCTCATGATCGGCCTGAGCACAGTATTGGCAAACCCCGCAGTAGCACCGGCGCCGCCCCACAATGGACGCGCACTCCAGCTCCGCCTGCCCAAGGCGAGGAGGGCTATAGGCAGGGCGGGAGTGAGGGAGAGGCAGTGAAGAGAGAGGCGTGAAAGGACGGGACCGAGAGACGATGGGAGTGAGGGGAGGGAGGGGAGGAGAAAGGGTGAGAGGAATGGCAGCTAGGAGCGAAAGAGACATAGAGGAATTGGAGGACGTGTTCCCATGTCCGTAACCAAACTCACACCCTTAACTAGTTTCGTCGTGGTTCACATTAATAAACAATCCTCGAGTCCCATTTGTCATGTCAGGCTGTACTGGACTGCTGCAGTTCTAATACCTTTGGGTGTCGCTCTCTTATTCTCTCATCTTTTTGTTTCTCTCTCTCTCTCTCTTTCTCTTTCTCAGACGCTTCTCCAGGCCCGTCTCCTTGCTGCTCTCTGCAATGATGTGTCCTACTCTCTATGCTGTCTACGAAGGTTGCCCGCTGCGTCCAACACCAGTCTCGAAGGAGTGAGCCCCCTCATCCCCCTCCCATATCAGGACGCCGCTCGGCGGCCAGAGAGGCTCAAGATGCCTCAGGAATGCCCGAAGAGGGCCCGACAAAACCAAGGCGGTCACGAGAAGGCTAGGTCTCACAAATAACCTACCGCGAGGACCCCAACGCGCTCCGAGAAGGCAACACATGCTCAGAAAGGCTCAGCGTTTTCACCATGCATGTGGTCGCCAGTGTTGCACCCAGTATGTCCCAAGATGGCTTCGAGGTGACCCCCCGAGGGTTCGAGATAGCTTCAGGAGAGCACCAGGGCAGTCCAAAGGTGATCCCGAGACGCCACCAACATCGCCCAGCAAGGCATAACATCGGCCCCAGGATTCCTCCGAAATGGGCCCCAGAGGCCCTCGGATACAAACATCGTGCGACCATAAGCAGCCCTGACGAAAGAAAAAAGCGAAGTGGCTTCTCTGGCCACGGCGAGCCTTGGCCACGGACAGGTCCCACGACTCAGATCTAAGGGACCGGCCGGAAGCCAAAGCCCCTCCAGAGCCCAAATGGACCTTGGTTCAGCGTCGTCACCGTAGCCCGAACAATGTCTACGATTGCCCAAAGGTGCCGTCCAGACGCCGAGATGGCCCCAAGAGGCCCCCCGGTGGCCAACAAAGCCCTCAAAGGCCCCGAGGTGGCGCAAGGGGCAGTGGCAAGGGGCGCAGCCTGTTGGACAAGAACGTCGGACAGATGTCACCAGCTCAGCGTACTGTTAAGTCGGGCGTGCCCCCCCGTAAGGGGATTTTCGACGAAAATCAAAGAAGTACTCAAAAAAACTCCAACATGGTCAACAAATACTCAAAACAACAGGCTATGTTTCTACTATCTTTGAAATTCCCCCTGTATAGGGACAAGCCCGACTTAAGCGTACTATCATCGTGCTACCCTACCAACAGGGCGACGGAACAAGGAACGAAGGTTTTGCGCTTCTGGCCTCGGCGGGTCTCGGCTTCGACAGTGCTCCCCGACCTAGATCGCCGCACCAAAGTGCCCCAAACCCGAGCCCCTCCAGAGCCCGAAACATTCCTCATTCTCGCTACAGGGCAGTTCTTTTATACATAGGTTTTAACATATAGGATGTTTGATACATGATTAATGTATGAATACATTAATCAAAAAACTCATCATTGTATTTATCAAGGGAACGTAAGACCTGGGTACGGGGGACTCGGAAATCCCCGACGAGGTCGTCAAAAAAATGACGAGGCCGAGCCTGCATTTTGACGAGGCCTCCCGCTGCAGACATCCCACGAAACTCCCCCTCTCAAAATCCGAGGCGCGGTCGTCAAAAAACGATGGCGAACCCGAGTCCTGGCAAACCCGGGTCTTACGCTCCCCCGAATTTAGTAATCAACCCTTTATTTTGAATACATGGTCCGCACGCGGAACATGTATTAAAAACGGCACTGTATAGATTTTCTCATCAGCTCACATTCGCCCATCTTGCCAGCCTGCCCCTGCTCAGCATGCACTGGCTTGCCCTGGCACTGGCGAACCTGAGCTCAGTGCAGGAGAGCTCAACCAGGTATATCCCACACAGTTCACCTAGCTGGCATTGCTTGGCCCCCGCTCGTGCTCGCTCAGCAAACCGCGGCTGAGTTCCAATCACTTGCAACATGTCCTACGTGTGACATGGCCGCATTTGCCTCGACCTCCCCGTTTGGCCTACATCTCCGTATCTCCGTCTCCTTCGGCGGGGAGTGCCACGTTCGGCGGCTATCCCTTTTGCGTTCACCAAGCTCTAGGTCCAGCGTGGAAGAGGGTGTGATCACTACTTCTCCTCGGTAGCCATAACTCGCACGGACCTTTGATCATACCTGACTGTTGCTTGCCTCGGTCGCCTTGCGCACGCCCTCGGACTGCGTCCGTCCTGTCCTGCCTGTCACTCTACCATGGGCTGGCGTTTGCGCAGGACGCGCAAACCTCCGGCATGTTGCCAGCCTGCCATGTCCTCGACTTCAAGCGGTCTGACGCTCGTCTATTGTGTGGCAAGATGTTTGCGCACAGCACGTCCCTCCCGATTCTTTCCGGCCTGGTGGGCTCAGGATAAGGAAGGAGGAGGAGGAGGACGACGACGAGAACAGTAGGAGGACGAGAGGAGGAGGAGGAAGAGGAGGAGGAGGACAGTAGGAGGACGACGACGAAGGAGGAGGAGGAGGACGACGACGACGAGAACAGTAGAGACACCCCAACAAACAAACAAACACACAACTTCTCGGAGGTCCGCGCCGCTCTCGCAGATCGGCGCCGGATCCCCCTTCCCCTCTCCTGGTGCGCGGAGCTGGCCGGGGGCGGCGCCAGAGGCACTCTCACAGGGGGCCAAGCGCCTATCCAAACAGTCCGGGCGGCCCTCCGAGAAGTCCAGGCGGGAGTACAGTCATCGGCCTGACCTAAGGAACGATGAATAAGGAACGAAGCCCCTTTTTAACCCCAAGGAATGACGCATCAGGAACGACAAATAATAAATAACGCACAAGGAACTGTAAATAACGCATGCGAAACTAAGGAACGACCGAGCCCCTTTTGAAAAGTACGTGTTCCTTATTCAAGGCGCTCACTGTAACTCCTCCCTGAGGCCTCCCCCTGGGCGTGTCGGTGATCTGGGCGGGCTGGGCGTTCCGCCTGAGACGTCCTCATCACATCTGATCCTGGAGCTTCCAAGTTGTAACACCTTCAAGGATGACGGGCGGGCCGTGTTCAGAGTGGCGTTCTCGCGTTAGCGCCGCGCACCTTCATCTTGAACGTTCGCAGCACATTCAAGGATGGAGGGCGGGTCCCGTTGTCGAAATGTGGCTCTCGCCTTGGCGCTGAGCACGCTCGCAGTACGGATCACCGTTGTCAAGGATGGTGGGCGGATGGTTTCTACCCATGTCTCTCGCGTTCGCGTCGCTCATATGCGTCGTCAACTTTCAGCAACAATTGAGGACGACCCCTCGTTTCGAACCATGAGTCTGGCCTCAGCGCCGCGCGTCTTCGCTTGGAGAAACAACAACACGTTATCAATGTGTCGCACACGCGCCGCGAACACTCCTTTCTTTAACTTGCATCAAGTTCAGGTAGTGAGGGCGGGTGGTTTTCAAAATGAGGCCTTCGTCGTCGCGTCGTTCACATTCGTCTGGCAAGCTCCCGGCAACGTTCAGGATCGAGGGCGAGTGGTTTTCAACATGTGGCTCTCGTCTTGGCCTCGCTCACGTTCGATTTACAAGATTGCAACACATGCAATAATCAAGAGCATGCCCATTCGAAATTGCTATCTCGCCTTCGCGCCGGGTGCACTCGCCCTAGTTCGAAACTGCTTCAATAATGGAAGGTCGTTCCTTTTGGAAACCAGATGCTTGCATTAGCGTCGCTCATTTCCGTTGCCTCAATTTGCAACCATTTCACGGATTCGCATGGCTGAAATGCCTTGTATATTTTCTTGCGGCAATGCGACTCGGATAGCCACGACACAACAGTCATGGTGTTGAACTCCCAGGCGTGGTGTGCTGGCACGATGTCGGGTTGAGAAACTGCAGGTACATATACAAAAAGAGCGTGGAGGCAAAAAACATCGCTGATGCGTCTGGAATTAAACTTGGTCCTCGTCCTGTTTTGTTGTTTCTCTCTCTCTCCCTCCTCCACCCTCTCCTCCTCCTGCTCCTCCTCCTCCTCCTCCTCCTCATGCACCTCCTCCTCCCCCTACTCCCCCCAACCGCCTGCTTGTTCCTGTGGATGTCGCGAACGAGGATCTTCAGCTGCGTGACCGTGGAACTCTTGAGCCGCCGCTCGCCTCGTTAGGGGAGGAAGCCGATACAGCTGGATAGCGAGGACAGACGAGGATATAGGATGAGATGCGATCGAAATTCGAATGCTTACGCCGCTCACGCCTAGTACTGTGCACCGGACCGGGCGCAGAGTACAGCCATCGTGTTCTCACAAGACATGCGGGGCAGAGAACGAAAGAACATGTTCCCCGAGCTAGATCCAAGGAGCGGCTCGACAGCCAGATCCCATGATGAGCCCCATATGGGCCATATTGCAGCGTCTCGACTGTAAGCCAATGTGTGCCGGTCCTCGCGGAGCCAGCTCGACTTCCACCCAACGACGGTAAACAACGCAACCGAAGTAAAACACTTGCTGCCGAAAACTGTGCAAGACGCGCCAAAGCGCGGCACACCAGACACGAACATTCTTACTCGGGGCATCCGCTCAAAGCCAGCCCCCACTTCACAGGGTGAACGCACACCACGGCGTTGAGGTGGGAGGAGGCCCTCATGAGCCATCTTCGAAAACTTCTTTTCCGCGGGATTGTGATTAGCGGCGCCTTCGGCAAAAGTAGCGGATGTCGGTCGCAGGTCGGGAGAAGGTGTCCCGACCCAGATGGAACCTGACGGAACCTTGTGGCCATGCCCTGCTCTGCTCCATCACGACCTTCGCGGCCTGTTGGGCGGTGGTGTCGGCGTCGATGCGCGCGTGCTCTTGCTTGCTCCACTGGCCCAATGTGTTCTGTATGTCCGTGCGCGCTTGCGCGAACTCGCCGCTCAAGTTGTTGGAGGCAGCCTCTGCCGTTGGCGCGGTTTCATAGACGCCCAGCAATTGCTTGAAGCCGAAAGCGTCGCTGGTATCTGTATTATATAGATTGTCAGCGACAGTCCAGGGGTGCTTGAAAAATCTTGTCCACGGCGGGAGTGTCCGCGAGTTTCGCCAGAGACTCGTCGCCAAGCAGGGGGAACGTATTGCTAGACTTTCCTCGAAAACGACCCTCCAGATCTTCATGACCTCGGTACCGATATTGCACAAGCCATTCGAGTGAGGCTCGAAGAAATTAGTTCTGGTCTTGGCGTCTGTCCCGATGGCCTAACAAGGCTTAGCCTTACATTAAGACAGCGGCGATAATATCAACAACCTTGTTTCGTGGAAAATAAAAACCCAGCCGGCGCGCACACATCCTCTCATGCCAAGAAACTGCAGTCGACCTCGTAAACCTAGTCAAACAAGACTGCGGGAACCCGCGTGCCGAATTTCTCGCCGACGGGGGGGATCTTCACAGGGACACCGACTATCTCGGCCACCTTTACTAGCATGTCGTGCGACTCCGCGCTGTTGGTTTGGAACCAACGAGTGTCCTTCAGTAAGTAGTTTGCTCGGCCAGCTCGCCCCTTATGTGCGCGGCGTGCGGGAGCCTCAACGCTGCGAGGTGGCAGCGGCGCTGCGCATCGCAGTCGATCTGTACGGCTGATTTCGCCAATCAAATCTGGACCTTCTCACCTACCAAGCCCTTATTGAACCCGTCGGACTTGCGGAACTTGATGAATTCCCCCGCCATCTGCTTCTTGAAAACGGTGCTTTCCTCTGGTGCGAAAGAGCCGGCCAACACATCGAAGACACGCGCAGAAGCGGAGGGTACGGCCAGGAGGCGGCCAGAGAAAAACCGCGGCTCATCAATGCAGGCGGCACTGGCCAAGCCCGTTGTCAACACCAACGCCGCAAAGGCCTCCAACAACGAGTTCTGAGGGCGTCACTGCGGGGGCAGCTCGGGCCACGACATGACCTGAAGCCGCGCGCGGCCGTCCGAGAGGAGCGCCCTGCGGGCGCCCCGAAATGGCGAGAGACGGCGGCCAGGGTGGCCGCTGCGGCCAGCGAGGCTGACACGAAGCCGTCGCGGCGAGCGGCTGCGCCAGCCGGCATCTCTGATCGGTCCATGAACTGCTCCCAACATGGGAGGGTGAGTCAGGGGGGGGGGCGTCTCACAGGTTGGGGGTCCCGCGAAGGTGCGGCGGCAGACCTTGCGGTGTCCTCGAGATCCCAGTAGATCTCACCGCAAGGTCTGTCACCGCACGATCTTGGGACCCTGGATGCCCTAGGGTTCTCGGGCGTCCTCGGAGAACGACCCGAGTCACAAAACAGTGCGGTCACCCCGAATCCCCACTGACTCACCAAACGGTCGTCACGAGAGGGAGCGGCCTGAGCCTCGGAAGATGGGACGAGCAAAGATGGCGATGATTGAGGTGATGAGGATGATGATGATACGGATGAAAAGATGATGAAGACGCCAGCATGAGGTCGGGCCTGTCACCCTACAGGGGGATCTTCGACGAAAAACAAAAGATACCCCAAAAATGATGCAACAATAGCCCAAGCATACTCTGGGGACTAGTTGTTTAATATTTCTTGACCTTTTTGGGATATGTTTGGGGTATCTTTTATTTTTCGTCGAAAATCCCCCTGTAGGGGGACACGCCCGACAGAACGCCAGCACACGGCCTCCCAGAGGCCACCGGCGCCGGCCCTCGAGGCGAATCGGGCAGGGCAGGCCGCCAGAACCGCACGCGCTCGCGGGCAGATCTCGGCCACTGGGCGCTCTGGCCGCCCCGGCGCGCCCGACGACCCGGGACCAGCCTCAGCGCTCCGAGGCCGCGTGGGGCCGGAGCCGCCCTCCAAGACCTGCAAGGATGAAGGGGCCCCAGGACACACAAATAAAGACACACACTAGTGAAAGGTTTCCCCATATTTCCCCATATTTGTGGGGCCCCAGTCTTCCCCCCCACTTCCCATAATTTTCCCATCTTCTCCTGTGGATCGACGATTCATTGTGTCTGTGTTTTTTCCCTCCTGAAGCGACTCCAGCCGCTCCATCGACGCGGACGCTGGCCGTGTCCCCGTCGACCCAGACCACCTGCACCATGTCGCCCTCCCTGAGGCCCGCGCGCAATGCCGCCACGACCGCAGGAGCCACTGCAGGCGATCCGCCTCCTCCTCCTGCTCGTCCTCCTGCTCCTCCTCCTGCTCCTCGTGCTCCTCCTGTTCCTCCTCCTCTTCCTCCTCCTCCTCCTCCTACGACGACGACGACGACGACGACGACGACGACGACGGCCTCGGACGCCTCCTGCACACCCCGGGACACGGGCGTGACGCGGCAGCCGCACCACTTCCGCCGCGAGCGCGATGGCCGCCACCAAGCGGCTCGGCGACGTCATCTGGGGGGCGCCGACCGCCACGAGGCACTCGGCCTCCTTCATCTGGGGGTCCGCCATTGCTGCGCCAGCTCTGCCACGCCTCGCGCGCCTGCAGCGCCGACGGGGCGCTGGGCCGCCACCGCGCCGCCGGGCCCACCGCTGGGCCACCACCACGCCGCGGGCGCATCCCCAGGAGGAGGACCCTGCCGCGGCGGGCCGCCGCGGCGGAGCGGCACAGGCCCTCGGCCGCGCGCACCAGGCGGCACGCCGCCGCTGCGCTCCGCGCCGAGCCCGAGGCCGCGTGGGTCGCCACCGCCGCGGGGCGCGTGGCGGCCAGCGCATGCCGCAGGTCCCGCTGGCCAGGCGCAGTGTGTTCCAGGCATTGTGGCGGGCCGCGCAACGGCCCAGCGACAGCGGGTTGATAATGGCACGGCGGATATGGTGAGTATGCGGATGATGATGGTGATGGTGTTGATGATGAGGGTGGTAATGATGATGAAGATGAAGATAATGATGATGATGATGATGATGATCATGATGATGATGATGATGATGGTGACGATGAGGATGATGACGAGGATGATGATGGTGAAGATGATGTTGATGGCGATTTTGGTGATAATGATGACGTTGGTGATGGTGGGGCTGGTGATGACAATGCGGAAGACCAGGTTTCCCGTGAGCGCTCGAATTCGTGCGCTATACAATTCGATTCGCGATATCGATTCGCGATGTTGGTTTGTGCGATCCTGGTTTTCCCTAGAAGCTGGCGCGCGTTTGGAATGCGATGGGCCGCATTGGTCACCACGTTTGCGAGTAAAGCCCAGGAGGCTTGGCCGATGACTTAGCCATGCGACGAGCACTGATGGGCGTTGATTTCGTTCCGCGGCGCTGAAGGCATTCCTCGGTCATGTCTGGGAAGCCAGCAGAATCCTCATCGCACCTGTCGGGCACGTACTACTCCTCAACCTGCCAGTGTTTCACGCACTTTTGTACGTGGACGGTGTCTTCGGCTATCTCTGCCATCGGCCACATGAGTTCGCGAAGCGCTACCATCGAAACGGTCCGCTATAGCTGCTGCGCGCGAAACCGCCGACAAGTCAGCCCGCGAGGCCGCCAACGAAGGTGAAGCCGATATCAACGCTTGGGTTCCAGCGCTGGTCTGCTACTATAGAAGAAATCACGGGGCAAACGTTGAAACGCAGATTCAGCCCATCTGTGCGTCCCGGTCTGGCGAAAACGGGCGGCATCAAAACGACGCAGAGGAGCGTTGTGAACTCGAGCGTTCGGCCTGGAAGCACACCGCGCACAACGACCCTGACAGCATTGTTCTGCAGCCGGCACTTTTGTCGTACGGTGTGTGCGCGAGTGCGCACAGAACAACCCGCATGAGCGTTTCGTGGCCCCCGCCTCAACCTCCTGCACCATCCGCCCCCTCCTCCCCATACCCCCTCTCCCTCGCCTCATCCTCCAAATGCCCATCCGATCCTTTCACCTCCCCATCGTGCCCTTCCTCATTTTCATTCCCGTGCCCTCTTCTGCCACTGCGCGGCGTTCCTGTCCGCCCTCCTCCGCCCAACGCGACCCCTTCATCCGGGCCCTTGCCATCCCCCCAACTCCTACGGGAATGTGCAGTTCATCCCCCCTTTTTCTGCTCCCCCCCCCTCTTTCGTCATCGCGATGATGGCGCCGATGCTGAATGCCTCCTGGGCCCATGTCCTCCCCTCCCCGCCTGCCATCTTTTCCCTCCCATAGCGAATCATCCCCGAACGCCCGCGCCCCTTGCCCTCCCAAACCGCGGCCCCCTCCGTAGCCAGCCGGGAAATTTGCGGAAATTCCCACCAATGAGAACTCCAGCGGGCAACGCGCAACACGTGCACATCTGGACACACGAGCAGTGTATTTCGCCCGCGCGCAACGCCCCCCGGCGTGCAACGCCCCCCCCGTGCAAACGCCGAACGTCCCGCCCAGTCACCACCACCGGCGACGAGCTCACCCTAAATGCACAGATGGCAACACGATCTGTGCACTGATCACACCATGATCTGTGTAGACGGAGCACCCTTGCGCGCAAATGCACACTTGAAGACACGAGCTGTGTGCACAAATCACACCTTGACCTGTGCATTTCGAGAAGGGACCTCTGCTTTCCCAAACCCGAATCGAAGCCGACGTCCCCTGGCCTGGGGCGGCCCCCCGGGGACTGGCGGCCACCGTGGAACGCGGCGCCCAGGCTGCCCCCAACGGCCCCGGTACGTCCCAGGACGGTTCCACAAGGACCCCCGAAAAAGGGCCCGACGCCAGTCCGACAACACGACATGTGTCACATGGCACGCACGCGTGAGCAAACGTAGCTCGAGGCGTCGCCGTACAGACCGCTGCGCCGGCACGGTGGCGGACCTTGCCGCGGGCTACACAAAATCTTGACATGTTGGCGCTACGAATGTGTTTGGCGGCCGTTGCCGTCCGCGCTCGGAATGCGCCCCGAGAGTTTGCATTGGTCACGCCCTCAACTTGGCTGGTCCGCTGCGTTCGGACATCGAACGGGCGGTATAATGCGCACGCGGGCGCGCGGCCCCATCACTTGCTTTTCTTGGAGCAAATAGGGAAGACAAGGCGGGGCGACGGATGGTGGAGCAGGGGTGCGAAAAGGAATGAGGAGGGAAGAAGAGGGGCGCCCCCCTGCTGGAGCCGCGGCCGCCTTCGATCCCACCGAGGGGGTAGAGAAGGGAGAGAAGGGAGCACGGGACACGACGACGCAAAACAACATGTCAGCCGTCCGCATGTATACACATCCTTGCGGTTCGGGTGGGCGCGCTTTCTTCGAGGCATTTTACATCCGTCCCCGGCCTGAATTCACAAATTCCTGTCAACTGTGAAAACACCTCGCAACAGAGGGGCAGTGGATTCCAAGTCAACGCTGCTTTCGAGGAAATCGGAATGGCCTTCGAAGTAGGGGCAATCGCCGGAGATTCCAAAGAACCAGAAGGAGACGCAGCCGTACACGCTGTCGCAGGCAACTGCTGACCACAAGCTTCACGAGCACGCATTGCGACAGGAGAAACTGGTACATGAGACTCTTGACCTCCTGGCTGGTCAGCACGAACTTCCTCAGAGCGACGAGGTCCACCATGGGCTGATGCCAGGTGCTGCTGGACCTCGGTGACGAAGGCGTGCCTGGGAGCCATTGCGCGTGACGTTGCAGGAATAGTCAAGGTTGACAACTTTTTGGCAGAGCTTGCCATCATGTGTTTGAGCAGCTTGCAGCGCCGAGCCGCTTGCGCCAAACCTTCAAAATGCAACCCAGTGGCGTCGGAAAGTGCCCGCAACAGTTGCGAGTGTAGCGCGCTCACCAGCAGATGCGGCTCCATGGCAGCAGGTGAAAGCGATAGCACATGGCCTTGCAGGCGCATGCCGAAGCAGTGGGCAACGGCCCACACCCTTGCTCACAAAATGGCTACGGAGGATGCTATTGATGATGCTATTGATGATGATGATGATGATGATGATGATGATGATGATGATGATGATGATGATGCTGTTGATGATGATGCAACTGAAAACTTTGATGCTGTTGGTGAAGATGAGGATGAGGATGATGCTGCTGCTGACGATGGTGATGATGGTGATGGGGAGAAGGAGGAGGACTACCACGAGAGATAATCAGGAACAGATATTGAGAATAGCAGGAGTGGGGAGGAAAGGGAGGAGAAAGGGTAGGGGAAGAAGGAAGAAGCGGAGGGGTAGGAATGGATACGCAGAGATCACCAAAAACAGAGCGGAAGAGCGAGAGAGAGAGAGACAGAGAGTGCGCGCGCGCAACAGAAGCTAAGAGGAACGGCGCACAATGACAGGGAAGGGGAGCGGAAGACGGGGTAGGAGTTGGAAGAGAAACCGAATGGGGTATGGATGGGGGGGGAGCCTTTTGTGAGGGAGGAGGGGAGCGGCTGGGGGAGGAGGGGCACAAAGGGACAATCTCAACGATGGTGAGGCCAAGGCCGAGGACGAGAACAGGCACGAGGACGAGCAGAACAGCTGAGCTGGCGCCCGCAGAAGCCAGGGCCGCGTTCAGCTTGCCATCGTAGACGGCGCGGCCGAGGGCCTCCGCGTCCCGGATGTCCACCCGATTGAGCTTCTCGTGGACCTGCGCGCGCAAGACGCAGCATACAGCAGGCACATGCGAGAAGGAACTATGATCTCTTCGGGAAACGTTGTTCATCAATCTTTGAGGGTCCTGATGTGCCCCAGAACTTCTGTGGGCCCCCGGTCGGCCAGACGTAAGAGTGACCCTAGGTAAGAGTAACCCTTGGTGCGCAGCTTTTGGGGGCGCGAGGGGACCAAACCAAAGGGCGCGGACCGCTTATGTCGCATCGCGCTCGGCGATCGGGGGGAGCCCGATGAGCCTGCACCATAGGTCACTCCGGCGAAGGGTCACTCTTACGTGTAGTCGACCTGGGGCCACTGGGTGACTAGATGTGTCTGTGAGGCACTTTCTGGACGGCCGGCCTCGTCTTTGACGTGCACTGCGATCCCCACTGGCCCCTTTCAAATCGGCCTCCGTGGATCCGCGGACATGGGCGGCACCCGGCCAGTCTTGCCAGCTGTCGCGCCCCGCGCTGGACTTTCTCGGGAGGCGTCGGCAGCAAGGCTGGGAGACTGAACCCGGAACATGGTAAGCGAGACGATGAGGATACACGATAAAAGCGAGACGATGAGGATGCAGGGGCCTTGGAAGGCCATGTCGACACCTTTCGAGTGGGGCGCGGCCAGCAAAAGTGGCCAAGGATGGAGCGAAGGGGCAAGGATGGCAAGGGTAGCCTTGGAGAAATGTGCATCCTTGCCATGCACTTTGACTGTAAGATGGCCTCGGGGGCCCGTGCTGGCGCTCTCTCGTGGGCTCGGGCCCTCTTGGGCCGTGAAGGCCACGGGGTCGGCCCCGGAGAAGAAAAGCATTGGAACAAGTGTTGCTGCACTGGTAGTCGCATGCTCGGCGTTCTGGTCTCAAGAGAGTCCACGACGGCCCACGAGGCCCAGAAGAACTGACATCCACCTCACAGATGCAATGCATACAAGCATGAAGTACGAAGGCCTTGACGGTAGATTGGGTCTCCGACCACCCTGAAAAGGGAGGAAACAAGAACACGCACGACCCTTGAGAAGGCACCTGGCATACGTTGACAACAGAGCATCCAAACACATATGCTTTCAACGAAAGGCGGGCATCCTCCTCCTGATCCTCCTCATCTCCGGATCCTCTGCCTCCCCTACTCCTCAGCAACATCCCCATCCTTCTCGCAGTATCAGCCTCATCCTTATCCGCACCATCGTCAGCATCATCATCATCATCATCATCATCATCATCATCATCAGCAGCAGCAGCAGCAGCAGCAGCAGCAGCAGCTGATCATCATCGTCCAAAACAACACCCTCACCACTCTCACCACCATCACCACCATCACCGCCACCTCCTCCTCCTCCTCCTCTTCCTCCTCGTCATCGCAAACAGCGTCATCATCACCGCAACAATCGGCATCATCGCCACCATAACCAGCATTATCCTGATCATAATCAGTAGCAACATCAGCCCAATCATCACCGCCATCTGCATCATCTCATCAGCATCATCAGCGTCAGCATCAGCACAACCACCACAACCACCCTCACCATCATCATCATCATCACCACCATCACCGTCATCATCATCATGATCAGCATCATCATCACCGCCATCACCATCATCACCATCACCATCACCATCGTAGTCATGACCATCAAAGCTAGCCTCAACGCTGTCATCACCATGATCATCGTCATCCAAATTATCATCCACATCCTAATCGCCGTCCTCATCAGCAGCAACATCATGATAATCACCAGCATCATCATCAGCAGTATAACAATCGTCGGCATCGCCATCACAATCAGCCTCATCATCAGCATCATCATCAGCATGATCGCCATGAGCAGCATCACCATCCCCATCACTCTCAGCATCCGAATCCTCATCGGTAATCAGCATCATCATCATCATGATCATCATCATCATCATCATCATCATCGTCAGCAACAGCAGCATCATCATCATCAGCATCATCATCCTGATCAGCATCATCGTCATCCTCCACATCATTAATCATCAGCATCATCATCAACGCCATCATCATCGTCGTGGTCATCATCATCATCAACACCATCATCATCGTCGTGGTCATCATCATCAGACTTGTCCTCATCAGGATCGTCGCCGTTCACCAACATCATTAACATCGTCACCAGCATCAGCATCGTCATCCTAAGCATCATCATAACCACCGCCATCATCCTCGTCATCAGCAGCATCAGCATCAGCATCAGCATCAGCATCAGCATCATCATCCGAATGAACATCATCAGCATCATAATCATCATCGTCATCATCATCAGCAGCATCATCAACATCACAAGCATCAACGTCACCATCATCAGCATGATCAATCTCATTACCATAATCATCATCATCAACAACAACATCACCACCATCATCATCACCATGATAAATATCATCATCAGTATCATCATCCGCATCATCATCACTATCACCATCACCATCACCATCACCATCACCATCACCATCATCATCATCATCATCACCATCATCATCATCATGATCATGATCATCATCATCATCATCATCATCATCATCACCATCCTCATCCTCATCCTCATCCTCATCCTCGTCCTCCTCCTCCTCCTCCTCATCCTCATCCTCCTCCTCCTCCTCATCATCCTCATCTTCCCCCTCCTCATCATCGTCGTCGCCGTCATCATGCCCCCGAGGGGGGGGGGCGCGGGAGCGCGAGGAGCGCCCGGGCGCGCCGGCCGCCTTCCGCAGCTCCTCGCCGCTCCAGAGTGGCTTGGCCTTGCGGAGCAGCCCGTACAGGGAGCCGACGTCGCCCGCCATCGGCCTATGGGGCGCTCGGCGCCCCCGCGTTGGCCGAAGGGGAGCAGCGAGCGGCCCCGCGCGGAGCCATCGCGGGGGGCCTCCTCCTCCTCCTCCTCCTCCTCCTCCTCCTCCTCCTCCTCCGGCCTGCTTCTGGTGTGCTCGGGTCCGCGGGGGGGGGGCCCTCGGGGCCCGCTCGCTCGCCCTCGGCCCCGGGGTGTCGTTCGGGCGCGGCCCCCCGTCCCGCCCTCGCCGCCGCGGCGGGGTGACGAGGGGGGCGCAGGAGGGGAGAGGTGGGGGGAGTCCTCCTCCTCCCCCTCCTCCTCCTCCTGCTCCTGCTCCGTCATTGCCGTCCCTTCTCCTTGTAGGTAGCTCCTCCCTGTCGCACCCCGAGGCGTGTCGGCAGGACGGGCCGAGCGTTTCGCCTGCGACTTTCTTACCATTCGTGATCATTACGAGTTTCACGGATGGAGGGCGGGCAATGTTCAAATGTTGATCTCGCCTTAGCGACGTGCGCATTCGTCTGCAAAAACTGCAAGAGTTTCACATAATGAGTGCGGGCCCAAGAGCTTCACGGATGGAGGGCGGCTCCTTTTCAAAATGCGGCTCTCGCCTCAGCGCCGCGCACATACATTTTTAACAATTGCAGGGGCTTCGCGGATGGAGGGCGGATCCTGTTGAAAATGTCTCTCGCCTGAGCGCCGCGCACATTAGTCTTAAAAGTTTGCAGCGGGTTCAATGTTTCTCACAGTTAACGTCCCAGAAATGGTTTTGTGGTGCGCTGTCGAAAAGTCAGGACGCAACAGTTGCATTATTTCGCGGTGTTGAGGTTCGAGGGAACGGTGTGCTGGCACTCTGGCACAACTTCGGATCGCCAAGGCGCAACAGTAACGGTGATTCGCAGCGTTGCAGTCCTAGGACCGTTATTCCAGCACAGTTCAAGATGCTCAAACGCTTGTCTTCCACTGGGGCAATTCCCATAGTGAAAATGCGTCCTTCCAGGGGCCTATGAATAGGAAATTCGGCGGGAGGGTTCATCGCAGTTTAGTTGATTAATATTGGGTTTGCATTCCTCCTCGTCCTCCCCCTCCCCAATTTCCTCCTCATCCCCCTCCTCCTCTTCCTCTCGTCGTGAAACAATCAAGAGGAGGGGGGGGAACACTTTCGGCCTCCAAGGGCCCTCGCGAAGCCCCAGGACCGTCACAAATCTACTCAGGATGAGGAGCCGTTCCCGGGGAATGGGTTGAGCCCTACGAGGGGTTGAGGCAGTGAGAAAAGGTACGACGTCGGGGGTCTGGGTCTGGCCCGCTGCGGCTCGAGTCCCCGCTGTTTCTCGTGCTGCTGCTGACCCCACACGCTCTTCGTAGAAACCGTCGCACCCGCTGCGCTGCCGAGAAGCGCCGTGTGAAGCTGCTGCGACGTTGCACACAGGAGTGTGGCAGCGGAGAGCCACGGCACTTCTGCCCCAGGAGTACCAAGAGTCTCGCAGCAGGGGTGGCGGAGCCGAGTATGTGTTGAACTGCCTCCCAAGAAGGTGGCATGGACATCATTAGAGTGAAGTGAAGAGGTCGAAAGGTCTTACACCATCCCTTCGTGCGTGGGTGAAAAGGGATTCCGTGGGCACGTCAGACTGGGCCCCTGGCCCCCAGTCTACAACTACACCAGAGTATATTGGACGCCCGAAGTTCCCAGGATACCTGGGGTCCGGGGCACATCTGGCTTAGGCCCCCGAGGCACGAATATGTAGCTATCCCTAACCACCCCAGCCCTGAGGATTCGGAGCTGTAGTCGGGCCGGGCGAAAGGGGGGGATAGCAAAGGGGGGGTTTGAGAATCAGCTCACGTAGCTGATTTTACCCGCGCCTCCAGGCGCCGGGAGGCGCCCATGTATCGAGGAATGGGCCCGGCGGCGGGGCCGAAACCAGCTGCATGCAGCAGATTTTGTACCCCCCCCTTTCCCAAACCCCCCCTTTCGCCCGACCCGATGTAGGTATAGGCCGGCCTGGCGCCCCCCGGTGCTGGGGGCACCTTCCACGCATTCTCCCCGAGTGGTGAGGGCAGGCATCGCGCCCCAGGTCCTGTGAGGGGAGGGAGAAGTGGCACCCAGCACAACGCTGGGATCCCATGGAATCCCTGCGAAGGAGCCTTAAGGGTATCCATGAAAGGTTGCCGACGTTGATGGATCCTATACAGTCCCGCCACAGACTGTACAATATCCTATACAGACAGGCCACAAACTGTATAGGATCATATACAATCAGGCCACACAGGGTATATAATCCGATACAGTCACGCCACAAACTGCTTCGGATCTTTGTAAATCCCGCCACCGACCGCACATGATCCCATACAGTCCCCCCGCTCCCAACACTGACTGTATCGGATCCTACACCATCCCGACACGGACTGCATCGGGATCTTGACAGCCCCGACACGGCCTGCACGGAATCCTAAAAAGCCCGGCAAAGATTTGATCAGAACTTATACACCCCCACACTGACTGTATCAAATGATACACACTTCCGGCACGGACTGCACCAAATCCGATACATTCCCGCCACGGACTGTACCAGACCCCATACAGCCCCGCCACGGACTGGATCGGATCCCATAGACTCCAAAAATGGATTATGTAAGATCCTATACAGTCCCGCCATGGACTGAACGAGACCCTATGCAGTCCCGAAACAGAAAGTCACAAATATTGATGCACTCCACACACGGACTATATCAGATCTTATAACACCCCCGCCGCGGACTGCATCACATCCTGTACACGCCCGACACGGCTTATGCCTGATACCGTACACATCCGACACGGATTGCATAAGTCCCACCAGCCCTCTGGGCGTAGGTGGCTCCACGAGTTTGCGCCTCCTCTCTGCTACATTGATGTCGGGCATGCCCCCCTACAGGCAGATTCGGGAGGAGCAGAAAGACACACAAAAAGTCGACCAGGATCGAAAACACCGCGTACATGGTCCCCAGACCGTGTCTTTAATATTCTTGAAGATCCCCCCTGTAGAGGAATGTGCCAGACTTAATGCTAGAATCCCTCCTACCCTTATGTTGTCCCCCCCCGAAAAGTGTCAAAAGAGTGTCGAAAAGAGTGGTGCCAACACAGTGTCGGACGAGTGCCTCCTAGGGCCCGACACGCGAAAACCCTTGAGCTTCGGTACTCTCTTGGGCGCTCGAGATTCTTCCTGGTGACGAAGGCTAAAGTAGGCTGGAGCATCATAATCCTGCCCCTGCTCGGGCGAGGGATCTGCCGTCGGGGATCTTCTGACCCGGGTCAATCCAGACCCGGGTCAGCGGGAAACCAAAAACTGCAATGCAGGACAAAAAAACTGCAACGCAGATCTTCGCGAACCCGGGTCAACCAATACGCGCGGCCGCCTCGCGGCCACGAGCGGCTCCCTAACCCGGGTCAGCCAGAGGGAATCTTCGCAGGACCCTGCAGGATCTGGCGCCCTGGCTGACCCCCGTCTGGATTGACCCCCGTCTCAAGGCTCCCGATGCCGGCTGTCCTCACCGGTGCCGGTGCTCTTGCGCTCCCTGGAGGAGCCGCCCCGCCCCCCGCGGGAGTGCTCGGCACGTCGCTGACCCGGGCCCCTCGGGGGAGGCCCTCTCCTCGGAGGGCTCGGCGGGCACTGGAAGCCGTCGTGGGTTATGTTGTTCCCATCGTACCTAAGGACCGCATCCCCAAAATAATCTCGAGCACCCAGAAGAGTGTCAAAAGGGTGTCGAAAGAATGTCGAACGAGTCTCCCAGGGCCCGACACGTGAAAACCCTCGAGGTTCGGTAACTTTTTTGGTGCTCGAAGGTCTTCCTGGTGGATAAGGCTAAAGTAGGTTGGAACATCAGATGTCTTGGGCCATCTTGAAGCCTTTTCCGGATGTGCGCTGGACGCTGTCTTGAGCCATCTTGAGGCATGTTGGCCCATCCCTGAGGGGAGGCAGAGGTCATGACTGCTCCGCCCCCTGTGAGGGGACTTTCTGCGCCCGTCGAGGCTCGTCCTGCTTCACGCGTACATGGTCCCCCCCGGGGCAACGGCCGCTGGAGGGGGGGATGGCTGTGTCAACAATGACCCTGAAGCCACCAGCGGAGGAAGATGATGGGGGTGGGGGGAAGGACGAGGCGGAGGGGCGAGACGTGCGAGGAGGGATGGAAAAGTATCATCCCGGAAAAGCAACCTAACAGCGATGTGTAGGAGCATATCTGAAAGCGTTCCACTTAAGATTCAGATGAGAATCCAAGTGTAGAGTTCTGCTGTTCTCGCAGTCGTAGTCGCATTCGCGATGACAGTCGCAGTGGCAACGGCAGTCGCAGTCACAGACTCAGCCTCAGCCTCAGCCTCAGCCTGCCTCAGCCTCAGCCTGCCTCAGCCTCAGCCTGCTTCAGCCTCGGCCTCAATTTGCCTTCAGCCTCGGCCTCAGCCTCAGCCTGCCTCAGCCTCACCCTGCAGCAGCCTCAGCCTCAGCCTCAGCCTGCCTCAGCCTCAGCCTCAGCCTGCCTCTGCCTCAGCCTCAGCCTGCTTCAGCCTCAGCCTCACTGTGCCGTCGGCCTCGGCCTCAGCCTCAGCCTCAGCCTCAGCCTCAGCCTGCCTCGGCCTCAGCCTCAGCCTCAGCCTGCCTCAGCATCAGCCTGCCTCAGCCTCAGCCTCAGCCTCAGCCAGCCTCAGCCTGCCTCAGCCTCAGCCGCCGCCTGCTTCAGCCTCAGCCTCAGTCTGCCTGCAGCCTCAGCCTCAGCCTCAGCCTGCCTCAGCCTGAGCCTGCCTCAGCCTCAGCCTCAGCCTCAGCCTCATCCTCAGCCTGCATCAGCCTCAGCCTCAGCCTGCCTCAGCCTCAGCCTCAGCCTGCATGAGCCTCAGCCTCAGCCTGCCTCAGCCTCGGCATCAGCCTGTCTCAGCCTCAGCCTCAGCCTGCTTCAGCCTCAGCCTCAGCCTGCTTCAGCCTCAGCCCTGCCTCAGCCTGCCTCAGCCTCAGCCTGCCTCAGCCTCAGCCTCAGCCTCAGCCTCAGCCT